TATTTGTATTTACTTATTTAAACACATACCCATTAATAAAGAGAAACACCGAAGTAAATATCTTCCATAAAAGAAGAAGAAAGGAGATTGTGGAGAGATAAAGGAAGGAAGGTGAGTATAATAGGGAAAAACAAAATGAATAAAAACAGTTGAATGAAAGTGGTAAATGATGAGAGAAGTAATTCATTTAAGAAAAAAAATGCAACCAAAAAGAATGTTATCAGTTAAAGAAGTTTTTCTCACATGTATGATGAAAATAGAAGAAAATTACACTTGGTTCGCTACACTGTCTTCTATTCTGAGTGATGTCTGAAAACGCCTGAATCCATTAGGTTACGTTATCTCTAATACCTCAATCAAGAAGTTGTGAAGAACCAACAAATACGGGTTCTGTACAGCTGTCTTATATACAGTGACCATCTTTCCACTTTTTCCACTCAATCTCAGCATCTGAAAATAATGAACAATATGAAATTCATCGGGACGATATTTATAGGAAATGTTCATATCATCAAAGTCAGTGTTAGAATATGATGACAGTAAACGAATTATTGTCACTGTACCCGAGCACGTGGGTTGCTGAACATGTGCATTACGAACATAGTTTTGCCACTAAATCTCAACAATCGTTTGGAAACAATGACGATCCAACATAGACAAATGCTTAACATCCTCGACATGGAGAGACTAGATTTCACAAACGTAGAGAAAAACTGTTCTCATCGACAGTTTGTAAACTCGACATTTTACAGCCAGACTAACGTCACTATGATATAGATTCGCATAAGCCACTCACCATGCGAAAACTGATCTCATCACTCACGCTACCTTCAGCATTTAAACAGCAACCTAGATAAATGAACTTCTTGACTACTTCTAATTACCCACTATCAAGATTGATTAAAGGTACAGGGTTCTCACAGTCCTGTGAAAGTACCTTGAACGTAGGAAGTGAAAGTCAACTACTTGAGTGAGGAGATTGAAAATGTGAAGAAAGCTTTATTGACCAAAGCTGAATCAAGAATATGTATACACCCATTCATAAATATATATCCTTGTTCCCGAGAAAATGAAACCACATTATCAATCAATGATGTGCCTTTCTTTTGAAAATGAAACCAAATTTCTCCCAATGGTATCCGCTTGTCTTTTAGCCTATATCTGACTGACCAAAGTTACCAAGTATACTTTAAAAAAAACACTAAACAATTCACTGTCATCGTAATAGACATTAGAATATACATTCTGAAATGTTTATGTTTGTAGGAAGCGTCAATTTTACTAATCTCTCCCTTGTCATGTTGAATATGTCTACCAAGCTAAGTAAATTGGTTCTTCAAACTGGTCCCATTTCTACTTCTTATTCTATTTCTTTGAATGTACCAATACACACGTAATATGTGAATTACATGAAGTAATGTAATAGACAAATTACATATTACTGAACTTATCTTTAGATTCTCATCCCACCTGAAAATACAAATCTTGATCATATCTTGATTGACTTTTTATTATTCCTAACGCAATTATTATAAATATAACACTATCTACTTTAAGAGATATTTTTGGGTACAGGAATTTTTGTATATTTGTATTGAACTCCAAATTAGATTCTCATAGAATGAATAGAATAGTAACTCAACCTAGTTGTATGTAACCAGAGCTTCTTGAATACCCTTCGCTTTTTTTAAGAACCAAGAATACTAGATATTATCTGATTAGGGAATTTAATAGTTGAATTCATGAGTTGATCTAAGCTAGATCATCATGGAAAACCTGAAAGCAGTGAATGGCCGTTTCGTTCTAGTATTTGACTCCTCCATGACAGTGTGCATCCATGATCTCACACTCGAGATTCGAACCTATGACTTTCGATCTCGTGTGCGAACAATTGACATCTAGACCACTAAGCCGACATCCAACGGTGTTCATGTCTAAATCGCACCACCGTCTACCATTATCTTCAGTGAGTTACTACCTCATAACATATGAAACAGCCATCTAGTGCTTCCAGGTTTTTCAAGGTGGTCTATCTTCAGTTGACTGATGATCTCAACTATTGAAATTACTATATTATCAACAAAACCCTCTTCTGATGCTAATTTTCTTTTAACCTGTCTAAAACGTTAAGAAATATACTTAATTTTGATTGGTTCAATAAATGAAAAAAACAAACAAACTGATCAATAAAATTATTTTAAACAAACACACAAATTGTAAATTTATATGATCGATCTAAAATATCGATCTTAATTGATCACTTTTTTATTGATCGATACTATTAATAGTTAAATGAAACAATTCATAAACTGAATCCATCTATTGTCAATATAGTTTAAAAGAAACAATTTGGGTTCGAATCTCGCGGGGGGCGGGGTCGTGGATGCGCACTGTTGGGGAGTCCCATACTAGGACTAAACGGCCGTCCAGTGCTTCCAAGTTTTCCATGGTGGTCTAGCTTCAATTGACTCATGATTTCAACCAATGAAATTCGAAGAAAATAAGGAGAGATTATAATTTATGGACGAGCCTCTAGCGACGCTAAACTGACCTTAAAAGTGTTTACCTACTTACTACGGCTAAATGAAGGTTATAAAGCAGTTTGAAGAATAAGGACTACAATTCACAATTAATGGTTAGGGCTAGGAATTAGGTTTAGGGTTTTCATTATGACCTAACATCAGCGATAATGCCAAGACGCTATTTAGCCGAATAGGTGAATGAATTTTGCATGAAAATCTAAGAGCTGTTATCGTAAATCTAATTGTTTCATTCATAAATTATAGTCTCGCCGAAAATGAGAACATTTCACTTCATTGATGATTTGTAGTGAACGAGAGCACAAGCAGGGACAATCGAATGACAAAATTACAGAATCTCTTGGTAAAATCTGAGAATTCTACAGTAAATACTTCATTTGTAAAATGTCAATCAATTGTCTTAGACTTCACTATCCCTTTATTTCCATACCGATTGATTTCTGTTCCCGTTCTTTTCTCCTCGATCTTCTTGATCTACTGCTACCAGACAGTCTATATCTGACTAGCGTTAAATACTATTTATGTTGATATAAGTAGTATACCCTACACATTCACACGTTAGCATGATATTTTCGGAACAAGTTGTAAACAATTCAAATTATACACATTCAGAGTATCTATCGATTAATTTAGCTTACGTGTAGTGATTATTTCAACTTAACATTCACCCATCATGTATACGTTGTGTAAAAATGATCATTGTAAAATGACAACAGCTTTCTTATCATATTCTTTTTATTCTACAACATAATAAAGAGTTTTGACAGACTAATGTTTCAACTCATTAAAAATAAACCAAACGCTTCAATTTAATTTCAAAGACTTCTAAACTAATATCAAGATTCTATCGGTTTTAATGTATTATCTTAATAGTTGAATGCATGAATTAATCTAAGTTAGATCATTATTAAAGAAGTGGAGTCATTGAATGGCTGTTTCGTCTTAGTATGGAACTCTTCAACAGTGTGCATTCATGATCGCTCATCACACGAGATCGAAGGTTCTGGATTCGAATCGGTTGAGCAAGATCATGGATGCACACTGTTGTGGAGTCCTATACTACGATGAAACGGCCATCCAGTAATTTCAAGTTTTCAATAATGATTTAATTTAGATTGACTCATGAATTCAACTCATAAAATGATTACAATCTCCACAAAATCCTTATTCTGATAATCACATATTATTCACTAGATATGACATTTGTCCAATTTCAATGATATTGTAAACTCTTTAAACTGATAAGCAAAGATGGATAGTGGCTAGCAGTGGAATCTCTTTAAACTTATGTTTTTGTAAACAAATTTTGCCGGTCAATTGATACAATAAATAGTAAACAATTATCAGAATGAGTTTTGTGGAGATTTTAGGAAATTTCACAAGTCGAAATCATTAGTCAATTGAAGCTAGACCACCATGACTCATGATTTCAACCTGTGAAATTTCCTAAAATCTCCACAAAACTCATTCTAATAATAATAAACTGCTCACTAGTGACTGACTTCAGGAGAACCTCCTGGAGTTCTAGTGAGAAGCCATCACCAGTGGAGTTCAACCTGGTCTGTTGTGAGATATCAGCTCAGTGAAGACAATGGTGTTCGATGGCGCAACTTCGTGGACATTAACACCGTTGGATGCCGGCTCATTGGTCTAATGGTTAAGTGCACGCGCGCGAAGCCAATTGGTCCTAGGTTCGAATCCCGCTGTGTAGGGGCGAGTTTGTGGATGCGTACTGCTGAGGAGTCCCATACTAGGACGAAATGGCAGTCCAGTGCTTCCAGGTTTTCCATGGTGGTCTAGCTTCAATTGACTCATCATTTCAACCTGTGAAATAAACAATTAGCCTAGTCAATAGTATTAACCTTCTTATATACATTATACATCAAAACATACATATAAAATGTATTTGGTAAATAAACAACAAACAAAGTAGAAGTAAAACGAAAAAGAGAAAAACAAACCATTTTGACCGATAAGTTTTCTATTTTGTTTTTTTTTCTTATATACACTACCCTACCATATGACATTTCAGCTGATGATACTAATGTGTTCTAGTCACATGTCTGTTCGTATGTGTATATATTGTAATTATTGTCAAGTGTTCATTAGTAACGTAATTGAAATTTTAAAAAAAGAAAAGAAAAAGCCACAACAATAATGATAATACTTTAGTCATAGTGATTATAAGACTTTGTTGCTGGGTAACAGTGAGTAGTTGTAACCTTATTGTATTGATTATATATATATATATATATATATATATATATATATATATATATATATATATATATATTAAGTTAAAAATGTACCTTTTCATTACATATACATCACATATACACGCTCACACATGTTTACCAACTTTCATTTATGTGTATATATAGAATAGTATAAATGAATAGTTAAGATTCTACTGTTGTTGTATACACTTGACAACAACATCAATATCATTTGACTAATTAGAAAGGAAATAATTTTGTTGAATATTTCTTATTATATATAACCTATATTAACTGTAATTATTCCATTGAATGTTATATGGGGTCAAAAATGATTGCATTGATTGTATGTTTACCATTATTACTATTATTTATTGCATTGGGAGTGGCAATTTTCTATTGTCTACGTTCAAGAAAACGTATTAGTAAGTTTACTATGATAATTTTATCCTTAAATTATTGTTTACCATGTTTTCAATTTATGTTGAATATATCAGTGATTGAATTCAAAATAAGATGGATAGTTTGTCAGTCAGTCAGTCAGAATACAGTGATCTTGAGTGCTGTTAGAGATATGAGGGCGGTTATCACTTCTCGGTTGCCCACACCGTGGAAGGGCTCTTCTGGAGGTACCTAAAGAGGAAATTGAATTAAAGGTGGTTTTAGTAACCTGAGAGCGTGACCGCAGTGCTCAAGGGACAACTGCCTGAGATCGGTCACACACGACCTTTTTCATGAGTAGTTTTTGTGTTAGCTCCAAACTTGTTGAGACCATACCACCGGAGAATTATATTTGTGGGATAAGGCGAGGTGTGCATTTTTAGGGTCGACCTTTTCTAACCCTACCCATCCTTGTAGAAAGGTAGCATCGCTGTTCTGCTAGTTGTCTGAAGGAAACACCTTAATGCTGTCACACCTCTGTACAGTCAGCAGTACGACTTCACTTTTGAACCTTGGGTTTGTTGCTTTTAGTCTTACCGCTCTTCAATCAACCTGTCTGAGATAGAAGAACCTAGAGGAACTTGAGATGGTGGAGAAGATTTGTAGCTCAGGTGGATGATTTTGGTGGAGTTTTGTTCTCTGAGCTGGATGGTTTGGTCGTGAAGCTTTCATCGTTCTTCTGAAAGACATCATCAGCACAAACTTCAGATGGAAGTGAAGTGTTTGAATTAGATGGTGGTTGGAGGTAGTCAACAGGAAACCCTGGACCCGGGTTTCGTGCTACTTGGCACTCGTCAGCAAGGTGTACCTGTAATCTTGAGGGAACTGGTGCTCCCTGGCGGATTCGATCTCGTGTCACCCAGCTTCACAGTCAGAGACGTTACCACTGAGCTATCCGAGCCGTGACTAACCTCCTGTAGGACTGAGATGTAATCACAATTGATTGATCACTAGGTGGTGATCAATCTCATGCTTGTCTAGTCCTTATTAGTGCAGATCGAATGCTATCGATCATGTTTGAATTTCTCCATATGTGTCTCAAAGCTTGTTCTGTGCACCTCGACGTTGATTGGTTCTTATTGACCTTAAATTTATCATGGTTTACTTCTTTGTTTTGGTTGTGTCTCCCATTGATTTGATTTTTATTCCTATATTTGTGCATGATTTTCCTGATTGGTTGGTAAATTGGATTGATTTCAATATGCTTGTTGATTGCTGATTGACCTGAGTGCCAAGCTTCTAAAAATCCTCTGATGTTTTTGGAGTTTCCTCTGTCTAAGATTTCCACATTTTTCCAATCGAATGAGTGTCCGCAGTTGTCCACGTGTATTGATATAAGTGAAGAGATATCATGCCGTTTGACTGCTAATTGATGTTCATGTAGGCGAAGGTGAAGGGGGCGTCCACTTTGTCCGATGTAGTGTTTTTCGCAGTTGGCATAATTTATTTTGTAGATGATGTTTGATTTGTTTTCCTTTGTTATTTCATCTTTTGGTTTGCATAAGATTGATTGTAGTGATTTTGTCGGTTCGTGTGCCACACCTATCCCGAAGGTTTTCAGCAGTCTCGTTGCGGTTTCTGATATTTCTTGTATATATGATAGGGTGATCCTTTTGTTGATTTCTCTGCTTGACTTGGGTTCAGATGCTGTGTGTGGTTGGTATTTTTTGATGAAGCTGATTGGGTAGCTGTTCTTCTGAAATACATCCTTTAGGTATTTCTCTTCATTTCTTCGTGCTGCCAGTGTGCTGCAGTGTGTCCTCGCCCTCTTGAACAAATTGTGTGCGCAGTTGATTTTGTGAGCTCTGGGGTTGTTGCTATTGTAGTTGAGAATTTGATCCGTATGGGTCGGTTTCCTATATACTTGAGTTTCCAGTTTTCCTGTGTCGGTTCTAGTGATCAATATATCCAAGAATGCTAGTTGGTTGTTTGATTCCTGGAACAGTCATAAACAACGAAGAACTTCTTACGTACATCAGTTCGAGTTACCATATCACATTAGCACACAAATACAATTATCGATCTAAGTCCCATAGTAGTAGAGGTAGTAAAAGTATAAGCAGTAATCGGAAACACTAGGGCTTGAAGATGTTATTGAAGGAGTATAATCCAGTGAAATAAATTTGGAAAGAGAAATAATAAAGGGACATGAAGAATTCAGAAGATTATATATCTGAAAGAACATAAAGAGTGTATGCACCTGCGCCATTGTACACGATTTTGAGCCATGTGATTCAAGGTGTCTAACCATGGATTGTTATCATCTCGCGGATCCCAACCAAGTAGTCTACACCTAACAACATGGCTCAGTCCACTTGTCAGCGACTCCATGGATTTGTGCCATGTTTTGGTCTGGCCGCCCTTAGCTTTCTTCCAACATACTTCATCATAAAACATCGCATGTCTGGGCAGTCGGTGGTTGGGCATACGTAACACGTGTCCAAGCCATCTCCTACTGTGACACTCCTCCGTGGTAGTACGCATCCGCGATTCCGTCCCGCGAGGTTATAAACCAGGACCTATCAGTCTCGCAAGCGAGCGCTTAACCATTAGAGCACTGAGCCAGTCGGCATCCAACAATGTTAATGTCTAACATCAACTAATCCACGAAATTTAGCGACACATCTACCATTGTCTTCAGTGAGTTACTATCTCACAACAGACCCGATCGAACTGCATTGGTCACTGTTTTTTTACTAGAACTTCAGGAAATACCTCATGCTGACCGTAACTACTGAGCATATGTTGTTTATTATCAGAAGGGGTTTTGTGGATATTATAGTAATTCTAATAGTTGAGATCATGAGTCTATTGAAGCTAGACCCTAACTGTTACAATTACTATAATATCTGCAAAACTCTTTCTGATATTTTTAAGATGTTTGATGAAATTAACAAACATATCAGTTGTGTACGCACACAAGAGATACAATTTTAGTGTAAAAGCCAAATTACAAAAAACACTTGCTACTGATGTATATTGTATATTTAGAATATTTTTTACATCTTGAATGTACTTGATGTGATTCAAGGCGTAATCAAGACTTTTTGTAAGGGTCTACAAATGTCACCAATATATGATAATCTAATCAATGTATGTTAAATGCAATCAGTGAAAACCATCCATCCAAATGATTGAAGAGTATATAGATTATAATCATCGGATCATCATTCGTAAGTATTATTTCATCGATCCTACAACTAATGTCTATACTCAATAATGTTGAGAAAAATACAATTACGATTAAACGACGAGCAACTACTTTACAAAGTTTTTAGTATTAAAATGAACTGAAGTTATGTATACGACCTTCTGTACCATATATGAGTTGATTTTAATACCGATGAATCTTTCGTGTTTTCTGTAATCAATTCATTTATATTACTTACATTCTAATTAGTTCAAGTGTCATTCAAGGTTGTCACTATCGTAAATCTTATTCAAGATGAAAGATGTGAATGACTATCACTGGGAGGGATGTAATGGTAGGAGAAATTACTAGAAAATTTTCACAGATTGAAATCATAAGTCAGTTGAAGCTAGACCACCATGGAAAACCTGGAAGCACTGGACGGCCGTTTCGTTCTAGTATGGGACTCCTCAGCAGTGCGCATCCACGATCCCGCACCACGCGGGGCTCGAACCCAGGACCTACTGGCTTCGCGCGCGAGCACTCCAACTGACTCATGATTTCAGTCTGTGAAAATTTCTAAAACTCTCCACAAAACCCATTCTGATAATAATCAACTGCTCATTAGTGACTGACTTCAAGAAAAACTCCTGGAGTTCTAGTGAGAAGCCGTTACCAGTGGAGTTCAATCAGGTCTGTTGTGAGATAACAACTCACTGAAGACAATGGTGGCGCAACTTCGTGGATTGGTTGAAGTTAGACATTAACACCGTTGGATGCCGGCTCAGTAGTCTAATGGTTAAGTGCTCGCGCGCGAAGCCAGTAGGTCCTGGGTTCGAGCCCCGCGCGGTGTGGGATCGTGGATGCGCACTGCTGAGGAGTCCCATACCAGGACGAAACGGCCGTCCAGTGCTTCCGGGTTTTCCATGGTGGTCTAGCTTCAACTGACTCATGATTTCAATCTGTGAAAATTTCTGAAACTCTCCACAAAACCCATTCTGATACTAGAAAATTATCTAAGCCATAACTAGCATCCGATACAATTGATTTGAGAATACAGTCAATATTTCTTATTTTACATTGTATCCATTCAAGTATCAATAAGTAATTGATCCATAATGGTTTTCAATTGATTGGATGAGCTTTATGATAGTTTTGACTTTATACTTTGTTATGAGATATCAGTAAAGAATGTTTTCCTTATTATCAAAACTAACATTTTCGAATGAATATGAAGATTGTGAAGATTATCGAATTTTATTGAGATGATGATCCAATCCATTTTAGACTATCATTAAAAACGTAGAAGCATTGGATGGTCATTTCTTCCTGATATGAGGTTACTCATCTGTGAGTATTCATGATCCCGTATGTAGGAATCGAACCCATGGGCTTAGGTCTCGAGCGAACTCTTAACCTCTAGAGCCGGAATTTAACAGTGTAAATGTCTAAATTCAACCAGTCCACAATGTTGCAGGCCCATTTTTCAGAATGTTCGGTGGGTAACTGCTGCACTTCTGATTGATGAATAGATGTATCACAAAATACTATATGATTTTGAAGTAGTACATCTGTAGATCGGATAATTTTCTTATCCAAATACTTTTCTCAAATAAACCAAATAGAATATTTTATAAATAGGATGTAAATTCAAAACACACATAAAACACATCATATTTCATTTCCTAGTCATTTATGGTCGACATCGTGTGTGTAATGTTCTGATACTTGGCAATTAAAGGTAGCCACTAGGAAACTCAGATTCTGACCGCTAAACAAACCTAGATGAAACAGCGTTTCCTATTGACTGCCTCGAATCAGCTGACATATTTTTTAATACAGCTTTCAGTTAAT